ATAGAAAAGATCAGAGCACAGTGACCCTCTTGGTAGCTCTTCCTGAGGTGTTCTTCCATCATTCAGGTGTTTTTAGAGGGGGAGCTTTTTCTCATTTGTACAGATTGTTGAGCTCCATTGAGGCACAGGTGACATTATGCTATGAAATTATCTTGACTTGAGCGCAGTCCCAATCAACACAAACAATGTGGTTTCTTATCATTTCACAACCCCTCAGATGTACTGTATCTTACAGTCCCTTTGTGGAGTCTTGACCTCAAGGTCGGCGAACACTGAAATACCCTGTCTTTTGACACTTCCAAAAATAACACGTCAATAACAGAAAACTGTCAAAAGCTTGTGGATGAATTTCTAACTTGCCTTGCTACATGGATACTTTCCAGCTGGTTTGATGGATAATGATTCCCCCAAATGTCAACACTCTTCTTACATCTCTTCATTTCCCGAAACAATGGTTTGGAATTTAGATTTTCATTGATATGACACAAAGCAAATCTGTTTTTTAAATTGTTTTATTACTCCTAACTCACAAAGGGAAAGCCTGTCTTTTACAAAAGACTACGAAAGTGGGGTGAAGGAAGGAAGTGATTGCTAAGTGCTGGAACAGGTCCCACATCTCTCTCAGAAGCCAATGACTTCTGATAGAGAAATTCCAACAAACCCACTGATTGGCGCTGCAAAGGATGCCATTCAATTAGAAATGAACATGTGAATGGAATGATTCTGAGAGGGATCTGGAGTGATGGAAAATACAGGTTTGGCATGATTGAGCTCAAACCTGTTTGGGGATTGCTCATGTGTGCCTTTGTGTATGTGTGTGTGTGTGTGTGCACTCTCCCTGATAGGATGGGGGCTTCGTTAGGGTAATTACAGCTTTACTATGTAAATAAGCCTGTCATAGAGGAGAGAGACACACCCACCTCTTTTTCAGAGCCAATTAACCTAACTCCCCTGGAATTTACATACCCAACAATCTACGGCAAACACATACAAACACACACACCAAAATCCATTCCGGCACTATTACATGCTCACTTGTATTCACTTTATTAAAGTGCAAATATCCATGCAGTCTTACATGCACCAAACTTTCTCTTTCAGGCACCAATGTGTGTATTTGTGTGTGTGTGTTAACTTGAGTCCCTTTGTGTGTTTTCGATCCAGGTTGAGGCGCTATACTACAGCTAGCCAGGTGATATCTGAATGCATAAGGCATCACCCCGGGCTAACTGGCTGCTGGAGCTGTGGTGAGCAGCATCTATCATCTGAGGCCGCTGATGAATGTCTGTCCTGAGTGGCTCTGTGGCATAGTGAGGGGAAATGAGTCATGGTGGAGGGAGAAGGGAGGAGAGGGGAGGAGGAGGAGGAGGAGGAGGAGGGATGGTGTGGTGGGGTACAAGGTGGAAAGACAAGGGAGAGGGGCGCAATGGAGAGGATAACGCAAGGAGGTAGAAGAGAAGAGCGAAGAGTGGGAGTGATGAAGAAAGAGAATGCAGAACATAGAGATGGAGAGAACATGAAATAAGAATATGTAATAAGACTGCGTAAGAATGGTAGGATGGAGATCCATTGGGAAGAAAAGTAGAAGAAGTGTGAAGGTGCAGGAGGAGAGAGGTGAGGTGTCAGGAGAAGAAACTCGTAGCATGAGGCTGGAGAAACAAGAACATAAGCATGAGGCAAGAAGAGGTAGAACTGAAATGGAAGAAAAATGGGAAAGGGGGATGGAAAGAGAAACAGAGATAGAGATGAGGGTGCACGAGGAAGAACAGAGGGAGATAGTGGCGAGATGGCAGGAAAGTGGGTCAGAGGAGAGGACGACGATGTGGAAGAGAAGGAAGAAGAGAGGGATGAGGCGAGTTGGAGGGAGAGATACCAGAGGGAGAAGCAAGAGCGGGAAGATAATGGAAGTTTATAGGGCAGCGTTGCTAGGTGCCGAAAACCAAATAATAAACCAAACAAGACTCAAGAGTGAATCCGTGTCAAAGATCTGTGCCATGGTTCAGGACACCGTTTGGATGTGAGCAAAGTGGTTACAGGTGTAGCATTTCTTTATGATAGACCAAAAGACACTCAAACCATATGGAAGGTGTCAAATAAAGTTGAATAGCGAAAACAATGTTCTCATGAGATCTCAGCAGAGATGTGATTGCATTATTCAGGGGAAATCCAGGGTCAGTTAATATATCTGGTATACATTATTGACAGGGTACAATGTACAAAGAATAATCAGGCAGCTTCTGAATCAGTTTAACGCGATTTCCATCCAATTATAATGCAAATGTCAACTGCATATCCAGAAAATTGGCAAAACAATATGCAAATGAATGCGAGTTTATATATTAGGAATTGGTCCATGGAGATAAACAGCCCTTGCTGCTTCAATTGGGTGCCATTACAACATCGCAGAGGGCACAAACATGATGCTGGTAAAACATGTTAGGAATACAACATTACATTTGTCTTTTGTATTCAATTTGTATTTTCTACATTTCCATTCAAGTTTGTATATGCACATTGAAAAAGCTAATAAAAAAGGGGGGATAGAAACACACCTAATGACATGTAATATTTCCGGCACAAAAATGCAGTATTTTATAAGTACCAACAGCAGTGATGTGGTTAGATGAAGGATACATGTTAAGAGGGATGGACATGAAGGTAACATGTACAAACACTAACATCACATCTGCTTATCTACATTTGATAAAACAGAGAGAAAGAGAAAGTGATGCCGCTTGTATTTATTCTGTGCAAAGAAGGACGAGCCAGTGTTCCCGGGGAGCATTGGGTTCTCGGATCAATACTGGTGCTATGATGAGACAGGGTGAGCTTGTGAGTCGAGATCTTAAAAGATACCTACACCATCACTTTCTGCCATTCTCCTTCTCTCTGGGGTTACGTACAACCCTGCTATATTTAACATGCGTCTTAATTTCCCTGTTTTGGCTGTCCGTCCACACTCTACTGACATATTCACATCTGAAAATCTAACATGTGTGAAAGTGCTCTCCAGAGTTGGAAATCCTGGAATCACATTTTAATGTGGATGGGGAAAACTGAAGTTTTTTAAAATGACATTGGCCTGTTCTAACTCTGTTTTTTACAACAACATTATTTATTTGGACACAGAAGATCAAATGTAATCATTTACGCACATACATACACGCACACACGCACCAACACCAACGTGCGCACAAACACATTGTACTAATTCTACCAGTTGCTGGTGACTATTCTCGTGTATTTCCACATACAATAGCCATAACTGAAAGAAAGAAAATGACGCAAGGTAGAGAACATTTCAAGGCGTGTTTTATTACTCTGTCTCGCTCTGCATATGTGTGACATTGAGAGATTAAGTACACTTCAATGTATACTTATAGTTAATAGAGTCTATACCTTGTAAAAAATCCTTGATTGTGTATTTCAGTACATATGTGTTGCTGTACATTACATACACTATTAAACATGGTTAAATACTGCCATTTATAAAGATAATGCTCTTTCTTACTCCAATATCTAGCTCTTCTGTGATATGACATCTGCTCATCATGTTTGTATTCTCTTGTTAAAAAACAAACCCTACCACACATACAGAAATTAATTTTATCTTTCCCTCCCTCTCATTTTCTCTCTCTCTCTCTCTCGCTCTCACACACGCACATACATACACGCACACGCACCAACACCAACGTGCGCACAAACACACATTCACACAGACAGTCAGCTGTGCCCTTCCCACAGTTAGTAGCACGAAAACAGCACACACTGCCTGTCCCTGCCTTACACACATATATACACACACATGTGCACGCACTCAAACTCTGCAACTGCCCTCTACACACTCTTAAAGGGACAGGACACAGGCTTGTGCATCGCTAGCGAGAGTCAACAGGATACCTGGAAAATACACATTTACAATAGGTGTAGCATACTACATAATGGCTTTCATTTAAATACTGTGTGACTATGAAATAACACTAGCAAACTATTTAAAGGATAAACTAGGGCAAAGAGTAATTTGTAGGAATGTTTGAGGAGTGGCCAAAAAATTAAGAATTCAATCATTGTGTTATTTTTACAATCTTGACAAAGCAAGATCCTTCAATGTTAGTATATAAATAAGAGTTTCCAACAAGACATATTTAACTGATGGCAACAATTTGCACATGATGGTTTCTTATTGTTCCATATTAGGGCCTCATCATTATGTTCATAAAATGGTCAGTTTGGATGGTTACAGTTTGGATTAAATATGATGTACTACAATTAAGCAGCGACATTAACAAGAGGAATACTGCTTTGTTGCAAAAACTGAATATTTTGGAGCCACAAAAAACTGTATAAACTGTAAAAAATCCGTCAGTCTTATCAAAAGTTTTAAATGCGTATGCCAATGGACAAACAGAAAAGTTTTGTGTATTTTATTCAGTTATCTTTTTCGGAATTCTGTATCAAGACTCCCTCTTTTGGGAACAGGGTCTATTAGTGACTATTTTTGCAGTTATACAATCAGGTAAATTAGGTTTGCATTGACTGTTTTATATTCAGGGTTAAAACAGAATAAGAGGCGCCTATTACATTTTTGGAGTAAGGGGAAATGGTTATACCTGTCCTGAGGTCATACAGCAGGAAAGGTAGTTGGGTTGAACATGTGCGCGGGAGGGCACTAAGTCAAACCCTGGTCGCCATTTGGGCCGACTAAAGCCCTACTGTTGTAACCTTAGGACAAAAACCAAACAGTGTATCGTACCAATAGTAGGATACAGTTATACATATAATTGTTAAATTAAAGTGTCATTATAGTGATAGCAATTCGTATTTCTAATGTAGTTCTGTGCATGAACACAAATGCAATGTAAGGCCTTTTACTTGAAGGCCTCCAGAAGAAAACTTGAACTTGAGCGAAGTCGACGAAAAATGAGACACTGTGGCTTTAAGAAGCCCCCACCCTCCCACAACAGGGGGGGCGTGAGCTGAATCCAGGAACAGCGATTGAAAAAAAAAAAGCTCCACCAGTGGACGGTTTCAAGTTCCCCCCGGCTGAAACCCTGCCTGATTTGTGGGCAATGTTGGGGATGTAGAAAAAAAGGAAACCGGAGCAAAGAGAGCGCAAGGGAGAGATAGGAAGACAACACTAACTGGGTAGCTATGGAGATAGTAGGTTTTCCTGGTAGCTTTCTTTGACAGGTGCCGAGTGGGATAAAATAAAGTATCAGAACAGCCTCCAAGATGTACGGCAAGGGTAAAGGAGCTGTTGTCCCCTCCGATAGTCAAGCAAGAGAAAAGTAAGTACATTATTGCACTGTCACAACAGAGATCCAGCCAAGAAGAGTGTGCTAGGTTGCTAAACTTGCTAACTGATAGGAGGCAACTCAGTCACTTCAGCAGGAGCACGCATGTTCTGCAGGCTCTTTTTTTATTAACATACAAGTTAAAAAAAAGTGATGCTGTGATAGTTTATTCGTTGTGTTTGCCACTTGTGTGCCTCTTGCATCCTCCAACTACACAGGCATGGCTGCTAAGTTAGCTGCTAGCTACACTGCCAGTTTCACTCTTCTCTTGTTTGTATATCTAACAAAAGAGTTGCTGTTTTTAAAGTTGCAACCTTTCTATAGAGAGGAAGTGTTGCTGCACGTGTTTCCTAGTTATAATGCATACATGTGCACTCGGGGCTGAATTGTCGGTAAGGAGCATTGATGGGGATCCCACTTTAGTTCCATCTCTGAGGAACAATGCATTTGGAGCGACGCTGTGTATTGTAGCTAGCTGGCTTTTGTGTCGCCCCGCTGAAGCGGCAGGTAAAAATAGAATACAGCTGGTTGGGGCTTTGTTACAAAATAGCACAGGAACGCGTTCAAGAATGGTTCCACAACGCTACCGTGTCTCCGAACGCGGAGGCTACATTGTATCCATGTGAGCGTTCGGTCAGCGGAGAGGCGCCGCTGCTACGAGCTCTGTGCAGCGAGAGCTCACAACTTTTGTGGCCCGTACAGATTTCCCTCAGTCACCCCGAGTTCTGCGAACAAGTGTTGGGGTTTAAAGTCCTTGTAATTTGCCACCACCGCCTGCTGTAGAAGACACAAACATAGGCTGTTTCCAGCGGCTATTTTGTCAGGAAGCTTGGGTGGCGTTAGCTTGGGGAGCCGTAGCAGTCCAATCCCTTTGTCTGCAAGCCACCGTCTCGATGCCTGTTGTTTGCTCAGGATATGCATGCCGCACGTTTACCAACAGTTAAACAATATGCAGAGGTTTCAAGTTAAACTGAAATATAAATGTTACAAACTACTATGAACCAATTCTGAAATATAAGCCTGTATCTGCAGGGAACATCCTTTGCTGATAGTCGCCGCTAACAAAGCCAACTAAGACCTGTGAATGCTTGCATTAAACTTTGTTGGATGTAATTGTTTTAGAACCCTGTGGTGGTTTAATGGGTGATGTTAGAGTTTATATTACACAACAACTGAATACACTAGAAGTAAATAAAAGCAAAATCCTCCCCACAGGTGAATGGCTTTATTCCTCACACTGGATGTGTTGAACACAAATGCTCACTTCAACTGGCTGGACCAGTCAGCATAGGGGAGCTGAAGTGGGACAGAGTTGTCAAACTATGTGCATGTGTGTGAAGATCAGCATACATTTTCAATACCTTAAGTTTATGCTTTGCTGTGTTTTAAACCCATATTCCTATTTTTCTCTCCATGCATCGCTCTTCTAATGTCTTTCTCCATCTGCCTCCTAACTCTCACTTCCCATCTTTTGCTGCTCCTCAAGGTCCTCCTCATCCCTCGCTTCAGTGTTGAATTATTGAGACGGACTGAAGCAGCTGCTCTCAGCTTTGCGTCAGAGTTGAGGGAGACAGAAGAAGAGAGAGAAATAGACAGACGAGAGGGAGATATGGTGGGCAGACTCATCCATGTTTAAAGAGGGGGTTTTGTCGCGAGCCTTAGGCAGGATGTCAGGTGTTCCGGTGGTGTACATCAGGGAAGTTTCACACTCTTATGGGAGTGAGCGTATGAGCGGACCAATGTCCCGTCTCGGAACCAAAGCGGGAACGGAGGGGAGGTAGGTCAGGAGGTCACCTCATGTGGTGTGATGGTGGAAGTAAAATGTGTTTTAACCTGAGAGAAGATGGGGGGGGGGAAATGCAGCCATCAAAAGTGAGAAATAGAATTACAGCTATTTGGTGTTATATAACCTTAATAACTAGGGAGTCAGGGTTTCTAGAGCTAATTTAATTTGTATCATTCCTTATGAATATAATTTCACATTCTGGCTGTCAGAAACGAGCCCTGTTTTTTTATTTTCCTCTCCATCCTGTCTTGACTTCTCCTCCGATCCTCGGTACCACCAACTGTTTTTTTCTCTTTATGTTCCAGTCAAAACTCATTTTTCTCCTCTCCCTTAACTCCTCTCTACTCCTACAGCTCATGTTCCTCTTCTTCCCCTCCTCTTCAAACTTCTCTTCCTTTTCTATGAGCTAGCTTCTGAGCTTTAATAATGCAGGAGGCCAGGTGCACGCACACGGAGCCCCTTTTGCAACCCACACAAAAACACACATACACACACCACACATAAACATTTCATTGAAGGCCTCTTGGGGGGGGGGGGATCTACAGTGTGATCCTTGTATCCCAAGACATAAGACCAAGTCCTCAACTATTCCCTTCTAGTCAAACTCTTATAGAAAGCTGCACAAGTGTTAAGCAAGCCAGTAAACCTGCAGTGAACAGGGAGATGCAAACGGCATTAATATTTGAAGCACTTTCAGTATCTTAAAGCTTCCTGTTAGCCTTTGTCAGGCTTTTCAAAACTGTCAAAAATATGCGTAGATGCAAGGGATCATATGTGTTTAAGTGTGATCAGTAAATGGCACAGGTAAAATAACGATCTGTGTGTGTGCTGTGCAGAAGTGTGAGTGGCCAAATACTTAGAGTGACCTGCAAGTGGCACTGACTTACATTCTACACCAGCGGTCACGGAGAACTTTGTGACCTACAAATTGCAAGGAGCCTCAGAAGGTGGTCAGATTCCCATGGCTAAAGTGGTGTGTGTGTTTGTGTCTGTTAGCTAAACTGCAGTCTTTAGCCTCTTAAAAGCATCGGTCATTGGTACAACAACCAATTTGTCCCATTGTCTGTGTCGCTGCAGCCAAGTCGTATTCCTGGTGTTAGATATGGTTATTGTTATACAGAATAATGGATACATTTAAAGTTGAATACTATTAAGCAGTGTAACTCACTCTGGGAAGTAAAGACTTTTAAGCCACTTATGCTTTGTTTGTTTGTTCATCTGGATGTCTGCCTGCAGTGCTCATGTATGTTTTCTTATCTTGGTCACTATCTGCAAGAGGGGAACACCCTTGGCTATTTATTACCTTCCGAGCAGGACAGCGGGCTGTACACATACAAAGACAAATGGACTTCACAGTGAAACTACTATCACCTATTCATAGCAAAACACCTATGTCACACTTTAATCTTGGGACAGCATCTAGTGAGAGTCATGTCTGCAACTATAGCTCTAAACATGTTACAGAAAAACTGAAGAATTACTCAGAATGACATAAATACAACAACATGTCCGTTTCTGCTTGATTAAGATGGTCTGTCTCTGGGAAATCATTCAAATTATATTCAAATGTCAATAACTTTGTTGTTATATTACTGATAGGAATTTCATCCAAAGTCCAATTGGACAAAGGGTTGTCCAACCAATGCTCAGCCCAGGCCAGAATGATGATTATGATACCAGGTGAGATGCTGCGACTGGCCCAATTCAACCACTGTGGTGCTCTGAATAGACTCGTAAAGACAGCAGTATGTAGTCAAGGATAGATAATTAACTGCCCATGATATATATATATATATATATATATATATATATATAGAAGTGGGTGTCTCGTTGGGTAGTAAGATATTTATCGATACAAGTGTCGAGATATAATGTTTTCTCAAATTGTATCGCTTCAGTGAATCCAATTGTAATTTGTAGTTGATTTGTGATTGACATTGTTCATTTTGAGTTGTTTACACCCTCATATGATAGATAGCAACTCCAACGTGAGCATATGATGTTGTCTTCTGTATACTAATGCAGTTTTCTTAACATTGGTTCAAATTAGATTAGGAAAAATCAATATATTGCCTTGCTTAGAGTATGGCAACATATAAGTCGAAACTCTTGTATCGTATCCTATTCAGCGTTTTCTTTGCCAATACATCCCTTTTGCCTCAGTGAGAAAGTGTAGGGACGGGGAGAAGCCGGATGTACAATATCCATCTTTAGTCGTGTCTAAAATAATACTTTGTACCAATTGCCATTTCATATAAACGTGTAGAATTTTGAGTGCAGTGATCATCATGTGTGACACTTGAATACAAACTTTGGAATTAGACCTTTTTGGTGTGTTAAAAATACATTTATCTTACAAATATTAAAGAGCATGCATTTATATCTGCCAGCTGCCGCCCCCCCCCTGCTGTGATGATGCTTAGATAATGTCCCCCGACTGCGTAGCTTCTATGTAAAAGACAAGGTGTGATCATATGGCAACCATCGCCTCCCTACAGTTATTGTCTATTTGCCTATTCATATCTTTGACTGACTACATTTGCATTTGAACAATGCATATCTTAAACATTTGCATATCATCAGCTGTAAGAACTGGTCAGGCACGGATCGTATCTCCATCATAACGCAACACAGCAGTTGTTGCCGTTTATGTTGCTCCCATGTGCCCCCCCCCCCCCCCCCCCTCATCTTCAGCTCGATTCAAGACATTTAGCAGAAATAGTAACTCAATAATTGGATTCTAGCATTGGAACCTCAGATAAATGAGCAGGGCTTTACTATCCCCATATGGACAGTTACTTTGTGCGGTTATTTGTTCATGGATATTTTCATAGTGAATCACACTGACTAATCAGCTAAATAGATAACGCTATAGCATTTATAGCCTGAGAGTATTTGAAACACTTTTTTACCTGATATATACAATGTCATAAATGTGCTTATATTATCATAAAAGAATTTCAAAAATTGAAAATACACACAATGATAGACGCACAATAAAATAAGAGGAACTCTCCAGGAAATACATTTGAGTATGACTATTATTCTACAGAAACTTGCATTTAAAAATATCCTAGGTGCAGCTAATGATTATTTTAAAAAGCAGTTAATCTGACAATTTCTTATTCTACAGTTTAATCTTTTGTCAATAAAAAAAATCAGAAACAGTGACCATCACAATATCCTGGAGCTCGATGGTGACTAATTGAATATTTTCTTTTTTGCCAGAGCAACAGAACTAACCCCAAAGTGTTCTGTTTATTATAATGTAAGACCATTAAAAGCAGAACAATTCTCACAATTGTGAACCTTGAGATATCAATCTTTGAAATATTTGCCTGACAATTCCATAAGTTAATCGAATACCATAGTAGTTGACTGTTTAATTGACATTGTTGAGACCTTTCATGCAATTAGTTTGTCATACCTACTTGCAATTGTTCTGTTGAAATGAGGTGTTTTTCCTAAAGAGCGATGCATTATTCTTTATAAATGACGTCCGAGGTATCACTGAGCAGCTAAGGAGCTTGGTGACGCAGAAAATAATAGCTACATTGGCAAATTTAGTCCAGTTATTAAAACGTACACTATTACGTTTCTTTATAACATGGTGATAATGATAGCCTATTGGCTCTCCATCCAAACATTTTACCGACTAAGAACATTTACTGCACTCAAGGCTCTTAAAATGATATATAATTAAATAGACATCACCTCTCTCACCATTTAACAACAGTACAAGGGGAAGAGAGCATTGGAAAAACAAATAGACGGTCAGTGGTTAAAAAAAACTGAACAACAGCGGTATTATCACAAAACCATGTTTCATTGATCACTTCATTGACTAATAATGGGGAGCGATGACAGTGAGCTACTGTCCTTCTCATTAGGACCTTATTGGCCTGTCAGAGGACTGTCTGCTCTGGGCACACGGGGCACTGTCATATCCACGCTGCCGGTCGATTGATGGTCCATTAACAGCCTATTAAACATGACTAAGTGAAGGCGTTAGGAGTACAATGTTGGGCCAATGGGGGTTTCCCACTCCACAGCATGGTTCTTGTGTCCGTTAATAGACCCTGGTGGATTGCTGTTATAAAGTGTGGCTGGCCTGATATAATAGTGATTTCAAATTCAAGGCCATGGCTTTTAAAATACTGTTTGATTTAGTTGGAATGCCTCTCGTGTGCAGCTACTACTATCAGTATTTAATCAGTACAAATTTTGTTCATACAGCTTGGCAGGTATACTTCAGGTTCTGTTTCAATTTTGAAGACGTTGGATACTTAAGCTTCGTAAAATGTATATTGGAAAATAGTGTCAAAAGCTCTACAGTCCACAGAGCTGAGATCATGTGGCCCTTTTTTGTGAGAACATTTCAAGCAACCCAAACATCTTTAAAGGTATTCTAGAGATTTACCTGCATTTGAACCAAGAGCCAATGTTAGTTATTGTCATGGTTTCTATTTTCCCAAACATCTCTGCTTTTACCAATGCCTACCAGGTGTTATCAGAGGGACAGTAACAGTCCTGCACCTTTGTGACTGGTCAAACATAAGCCTTGAGATGGCAACATGTATTCCTGCTGCATGTAAATATCAGGACTTTGGACATATAATGTTAAATAGATAATGCAGCTGACTTTTGTTTAATGTAAAACAACTAAATAAAGGAAGTCACAAAGAAAAGAAAAACTTTCATTGTATTTGCTAATTGTTTGAATAGATTATTTGTAAAGAACCAGAAAAAACTCACTCATTCGACCTGTCTTGACTTTTCTGCTGCTTTTGATTATGTTCACCATGTCTCTTTTCTACATATCCATTCCAACTTCATAGTAGCACAGACTCTTTTTTTTGTTTAAGCTATACCATTAAGCCACTTTATTAGCCATGGTTGGTCTGTTAACCTTCACAGTTGTTGAGTTGTGGTAAAGATTCAAACACAAATTGACTCATAAAATCAAGCCCCTGGAATATATATGGCCGACTATCCTAAGGGGCTTATAGTTTATAGCAAGATTTGGTTGAATTGCTATTGTAGGTCTGCATTTGGTTGTAAAAAATTGGGCCGCCCAAAATACCTAAGATGCCAAATAGACATCATTGAGTGCAAATGCGAAGACTCTTGATCTTGAGAATATGGAGGCTGGATTTTGCCACTAACAACTTTTTCCTTTGTGTTTCAGGTTAGCATTATATGTGTACGAGTACCTGCTACATGTGGGAGCACAGAAGTCCGCACAGACCTTCCTGTCTGAGGTAAGATGACATCCATGTCCTGAACTAGTTTCAAAACAACAAGTCCTCCAACTCATATGACCAAATAGGTCGATTGTTCAAGCGCTTATTACAACCTTTAATCACGTTTTAAAGTTTTCGACCTCTAGTGCTCCCGTTGACTGCAAACGCTCCGGTGGGTCGTATATTCACAAATAACCCTCTCTGGAAATCCTAAATTGTAGGATCGTTTGGCCATTAAAATGCTTTTTGATTAGATTTCTAGCGAGAAGTGTATATTGTACTTTTAGAATCCACGTCCAGTAGGGTGGTCCTTCGTGAGAGGTACATTTTTTGAATTCATTTATTTTAAGCTCCAACCACCGTAACTCGTTATACTTGTCAATAAATTGTATTCAAATTCCAACAACATTTACCCCTCCCTCATCAACCTTGAAGTTTAGCCTCACGTAGGGTGGTCTTTAAAATTGAAAGTCGGAAAGTCTAAGCTCCAACCCCCAGAATTCATTCTATTAGCCAAGAAAACTCTCCTGGTGGTTATGGGGGTTGGAGCTTAGACTTTCCGACTTTCAATTTAAAGGACTACCCTAACGTCCAGTGGATGTGTAGGATCTATAGTTTGATAGATATTACGAAGATTATTCGAGGTCTCGCCAGGAGAACGTGTATATACTACGTCTTTCCCCCAATTCATTTCTATTGACGGCAGCGTCCATGTAAAGTTAGCGTCAACCCTCACGGTAGGGCTGCTCAATTAATCGTATTTTAATCGCAATTACGATTTTGGCTTGCAACGATTATGAAAACAACATAATTGAAATAAAACGATTTCTTTTTTTCTTTTTTATTATTGCATTTTAATGGTCAAACTATTCTACAATTTAGGATTTTACAGAGAGGGTTATTTGTGAATATACGACCCTCCGGAGCATTTGCAATCAACGGTAGCATCAGCCCATATGCCGCAAATTGTTGTTTCTTATACGACCACTAGAGGTGCTAAACTTTCAAACGTGACTATAGGTCGTAATGAGCTGCTGAACAATCAACCTATTTGGTAGTCTTTTGGAGGAGGACAGGCTGTTTCAAAAGCACTGAGCCAATCCTTGTTATTCTCTCTTTGTCTTCAATTGTGTATCTAGACTGGCAAATAAAGAATTAGTGATGAATTTACATTGGCCTTGGTGATTTGAGAATAAAAACGGCTTTCCTCAGTAGTAAAACTACACACGCCATGACCCAGCTAAAGTGCATGTTTACAACAACTTGCGGTGTCAGAGCAAACATGCTAAACTTGATTGCCGCACCTGAGCTGTTGCATTAATTTTTCAAGAGGAAATCCTATAAAGTTACACCAGATCATGCTCCCTGTCTGCCATTGGTAATCTTAGTGTCAAAACATCTGACGCAGTTGTCTTCGGACATTGTAGACATGGTGTTGACTGTTTACATTTCCTCCTAAAAGCCCTTTTGGGGGAAGACAGTAAGTGAGTACATGACTTTCCCGTATCCATAAAGCATTTCATATGTAACGAAAGAAAGAAAGGCAGACAGGACAGAGATGTAACAGAAGGAAGATGGAGATCGACAGAGGCAGATAGATGCCTATCTTCGCGTCCGAGGCCATTGACAGTTTGAGACTGACTGATTATATGCTCTTAACCCCTGGACCTGCAGACATAATCCTCTCTCTAGTGGCCACAAGTGACTCTTCTCTCCTCTCCTCCAGATTCGATGGGAGAAGAATATTACATTAGGGGAGCCTCCTGGATTCCTCCATTCGTGGTGGTGGTGAGTTTCAGTTTGCTATTCTTTTTTTTCTCACAGTAAGCTTATCCATGTTGTTTACTTGTGTGAGTAAACAGTTTTTACAGTACATGTCTAAAGCTGTGTATCATACCTCGCCATACATACTCAATCATTAACAGGACTCTAGTGACCATCATACACGTCTGGGTATTGTTTGTTTTATTACGTTACTAACACCAGTACCCTTACAGTAATAGCGACACTAATAAAGCACTTCATTTGATGAGTAGTTATCCTACTTCATTGATACCCACCCTAACCCTAACCACCTCTCTTCCAGATCCAAATATTTTTTTAACACAAAATATTTTGTTATTGCATTTACAAAATGATATACAATAGTAGGTACAAAAGTATAAATTGCTAACTCTGTGAAATACATGAAGTTGACGTCAGAACACCATAATTGGGTTGTAGCTGATTTGGTAATAGGCCAATAACATGCCACATTAAACTGAATAACGCTTGTGATGATTGGCTGCCAGCAAAATCAGATAAATGGCCCTCTTTTGTCAGATCTGTGTAGAAAAAGGATCTAAATCAGGCATCTTTTGACCAAAGAAGTTTTGGTAATACTTGGTGCTGGGATATTTTAGTACCTATTCTAAGATCTCATCCTAACCTTACATAAATTAATTACTGTCACATGCACAAACGGTAGCTTCAATGGTCTGAAGGCTCATGGAAGAGCCAAATAAATGTTAAGCATGTTCAACTCATAAATGATATAGACATCAACAGATTCATGTTTTGAAAATGACCAGATTTTGACTTATTGTTGGTGCTCCAGTCATGATTGAAATGACTTCCGGAGATGGGAGGTGGAGCAGAGTCTCAGCCTGGGGTTGACCAGACTCTGTGAGGACGTGACCCCTCCCTCCCCGTCTTCTCCCCTCCTCCAGTTCTCCATCCTTCACCCCCGATCCTGAAACAATAGATCCAGATGGTTAGGGAATGGACTCCCCTCCCCCCCTCACCCTCTCGTCACCCTTTGTGTGCCCCTCACCTCCCACTTTTCTCCTTTGTTCATGAGGGAGAGGGATTCTTAGCAGATTAACCCGTTGCATTCCATCTTCCTTTGTGTCACCTCTCCCTCCGCTGTCTTCCTCCTCCCCCCCCCCGTCCCCCTCCTGTCATTTCTGCCCCTGGCTAAGATTTGACCCTTGCGGTCATCACCTTAAGCCCCGATCAACGGTTTCACTTGTTTTTGAAATTGCAGGTTCAGTTCATAGTCAAGCTTTTTGCAGGAAATCAGGATGGGTCAAGGAATCACACAACACTTAAAGTAATTATAAAATATGTTTTACTGTAAAACCCTAGTTAACATGCAGCTGGTAATCAGTAATCTGATTTCTCCCCCTCCCCTATTTTGAGTCTTTTCCAGGGGATTTGTTGACAATGAGAGGATACAGATTATATCCAGCCTTATTCTATCCATCAAATAGAGTAATAGACTCACTGAGACCTAAGAAACAAAAGCATCTTACATTTGTGGAATTGGTAGATGTCTTACTTCTGTAACATAATGACATCGCTACGTAACACTCACGCTCCTTATTGGCTAGCACTCCAACACATTGTATGTGATATCCTAAGGGAAGGGACATCTCTAATACCTCATTCACACCAACGCAACTCTGGTTCAAGCTCCGTGTTAGAGCTTTTCAGGTTCAGAACCGGTTCTTCGGTTTAGCTCCAGCTCTTTTCACACCGCCCAGAGTCCGACTGGTAATGCGTCGTTGCGTCATCGTTTGCGTCATGACGTAACCGTTTGCGTGCCTGCTTCATAAAGCCAAACCGCGCGGATGAAATCAGTTGCATTCATTTCTTATGGCTCTATCTGCAGCTTTTCCGGAGTCATTTATGTGGTTTAGACTATATTATAAAAAAAGTGTACTCGTGTCAATAAAGTTTTTTTTTAAAACACAACTGCTTCCGAGGTCGGTCTTATTTCTTAAGGTGGACTGAACCATGAGTGTGGAGCAACGTTGTATCTTTCATTTAAATGAACTGTAACCTTCACCCAGGTATGTAACAGCTGTTCTCAAATGAACACGTGAAGTAAAGTTGAATTTTTATAGATTTATAATGAGAGGTGATCAACGTGAATGCTCAGGTTCCACCTTAACACGCAGACATGTTGCTTCACCATGAGCAGAAACCTTTATATATACAGTCTATGGCAGAAACACTGAAACTCTGAAACTCTTGTTAAGTTTCTCCATCGTTGTGTACAAACTGGATAAAACGCGGGCTTTTTGTTGTTGTTCAGGAGTTGATCCTGTCTCTGCCCCCGCCTCGACGTAAGCGTGACGTATGTGGTGCTTTTGCTCTGGCCGGACAATTTGTTGGTGCTTGAAACGAACCGGATTCTGGAGCTAAGAGGCTGCTCCGCTGCAGTGTGAACACGAAAACCCGGTGCTTTTCAAGCTCCAGCTCCGAACCGGCACTGAAACACCGTTGGTGTGAATGAGGTATAAGTGGTTGACGAGAGGGTGTCGTTTTTCTCATACTGATATTCTGAACAATCTGTGCTGTTGTATTTGCTGTAAAGTGTCTCTACTGTAGGCTAATTTTATTATATGTACAGCACTTTGGCTCGACCAAAAATCGTTTATAAATGTGCTATATAAATAAAACTTGATTTGATTGATTTGATTTGAATCACAACAGAGCCGGCCAGCTAACTAATCAGAGCAGACTGGGCTCTGGTTTCAGACAGAGGGTGAAAAGAGGTGCTGCAGCACAGGCAGTATGAGAAAAGTAAAGTCCTGCCTGCCTCTCACCATACTACTTCCCTGATGGCTCCCACAGGATTGTTGACATCCTCGTGGATTCATCTTCTTATTATAGACACATGCATTTCCAAACATTTGGTCTACCTATGCTGTAAAATGTATTATCTCTTCGATTTACACACGGCATCTATTGCACGTCTGTCCGTCCTGGGAGAGGGATCCCTCCTCTGTTGCTCTCCCTGAGGTTTCTCCCATTTTCCCTTTAAACTGTGGGTTTTCTCTGGAAGTTTTTCCTTGTACGATGTGAGGGTCTAAGGACAGAGGGTGTCGTATTGTCATACTGATATTTTGTACAAACTGTAAAGTCCACTGAGACAAATGTAACATTTGTGATATTGGGCTATATAAATAAACATTGATTGATAGTAATCAAGGAGACCGATATTTGGAACCAATATACATTTGCAGTAAAATCAGAAAATCTTGGTGTCAAAATGTAGAATAACACAACATCTTAAAACTGGTTTCCTCTCTGTGACCCTGAGTAAAAATAAAATTAAAACTTGTTCTGAACTTCTGATATTTGAGTCTCACTCATTTAGTAGTCCCAATTCAGCAGCACCAGATTGTGGTGCAGAAAGCAGAGTTGCTGCGAGGCTCCACTAGCAGCCGTCCCAGCGCGTCCCAGTTTCTCCGCTGCGAGACGCTGGCTGCAGCCCGGAAAATCAGATGGCGCTGTGGGCGGGATATTGCTCGTGAACAGTGGTGACTGCAGCCAGAGAAACGGCTGCATCAGAGCTAAAGTTGTATCGACAATTTGATTTAAAAAAAGGCCGATAATCTGTAAAATGCGGAATATCGGCCTCGATAATCGGCCAGGCCGATAATCGGTCGACCCCTAATAAGAATAAACAAGTTGAAATGATTTGTTATTGGTTGTGATCATATTCTAAAGATGTTTGGATTATTGAAAAGTATACAGCTCTCTTTCATATGAGTGTTGAGAGCTGTATCCATAAGTGCACCAGATTGATGCTTTTAACTTCAACATTTAAAAAGAAATCTTCCCGGGGGTCCACCCCCAAATAAAGCAGGTTAAAATAATTCAATTGAATACATTTTCTTTTAGTAAACGCTGAAAACGGGTCCCACAGACCCAAACAGCGCACAAAGGTTAAAGGTAAGCATATAATAATGTTAAAATGTGCTAAATATATACACTGCAAAAAACAAAAAAAAGAGGAGTAAAAGTAGCTCACGACTTACTTTATTTAAGTAGCTCTCCTCCTAAAAAAGGTTGGAGACCCCTGTTACAGAACGATACATTTGACAATTTTAAGCTTGGCCTACCATTTTATTGGAGCGATGAGGAACAGGTGGGGCTTGAAAAGGCCCACCTGTTCAAAGTGGGGAATGACAGAAAAAGGCACCAAATACAAATAAAATGTGTTTTATTGCATGTGGGTATCGCAGATTCTTTGCATTCTTGTGATTATTTGTTATAGCCTTTTTACTTGCTCTTATGAGGAATATTAAATGAAAGCTACACAAAGTGGGCCACTGGATGAAGAATATTATTCACTGTGTGGCTGAAGGACATTACTGAAATTACCAGTGTACATATTACAAAGGAACACATATTTAAAAACCTGTAGATGTAGAATTACTGACTGGTAAATGTACTCTTATATGCTCTTTGAAAAGTACAGTATCGAGTGTAACTGTTCACCTCGGGGGGTGGCTCTGCTGAGTCAGAAGAATGCTTTTTAAAGCACTATCAGCAATGTGATACCAAGGACATGTTTTAATAAAAAGAAAATGAAGGAACAGAATAATAACCTAAAAGCAAAAAAAAAGCACGGATACATCTTGAGAATAAGTGTGTTCTCTTGTTCATTAAGGGCCAAAACCTAGATGTAGGTTGTGTCTTTGCAAAATAAAATAAATAATATAATGTTGTATTTTATACCTGGGTAAACATCCTTTTCTTTACCTCCTCTCCTTGTTGAGGCTTACAGTGAAGGGACAGATAACCTTGTTGAATAGAAGGTTCAGGTCTTGTAGCCTCTTAATAATTACTCCCTGTTGATGTGTCCTTGAGCACTGACAACCTTATCATCTGTAGCTCAACCAAGCCCTCAGTCCATACGCTAAAGAGGAGTTGGAGGAAAACACACTTTTAGAGATCAAAATATTGTATAAAGGCCTCTTGAAGGGGCCCTATTATGCTCATATGCTATCAGGTTCATATTTGTATTGTGTGCCTCTACTGTGACATGTCCTCCTTCATACTGCCTGTGCTGCAGCACCTCTTTTCACCCTCTGTCTGAAACCAGGGCCCAGTCTGCTCTGATTGGTCAGCTGAACAGCTCTGTTGTGATTGGTCAACCTGTTAGAGTTGTCCCGCCCCTATCATGTACTATGTTTTGGATCGCTAGCCAACAAAAGTGTTACAAAGTGATGTCACGATGTTCCCAAAGTAAACAAAGGATTCAAATGGAGGCGTTTCAGGCAGGTGGGGGGGGGGGGAGTGTGTGGGAGTGAAACTCCCTCTGGTGTGAACTTCAGGATTTTATCCTTTGCAGACCATTTACATGCACAAAAACCTATTCAACACACCAAAGGAAAAGGAAAACTCCAAAAAGCATAATAGGGCCTCTTTAATGATCTCAATCAACTCACTCATATCTAGCATGTCTTAAGAAGTGCAGAGGTGTACGAACAATTCCAGATGTTGGGCTTTCAACATGTCTGTGTGCAACACAGATTGTCGGGCCCTGTGAAGTGGCTGCCTGATTGGTCCCCTCGTTAGCCATGTCGCTGTTTTACTCTGTGTATAGCACTTCCACTAAATCAATGCACAAAGACTGATTCAATGAAGGCCTCTTAGACAGGTAGCACACCATCCCTCAGCGTTGTTGCCTAGCAGATTTTCCACTTAATCTGTTTATATAAACTGAAACAAATATCCATTATGGAGACATTTTGTGTCTATCTCTGTGTCAACTCTTATTATTGCCTTGACCTTTTGGAGATCATTTTATGAGCAAATCTTATCCCTGGTAAAAGAATATGTTTGTCATTGAGTTTAGCTCTATATTCATGATTTAAGTCTAACCGTTCAAGTTTGAAGCTAAGAAATGGATGCAGTCAATAAAAGGTCCATGCATGTACTGTAACACAAGAGAGTGTGTGTGTATTTTTGAGTGAGTGAGAGGTTGATTGAGGGGGCGACACTGGCATTGTGTCCCTCTTACAATGATGCTCAAGTATATAAGAGGCCGTTTAAGAGCGCTAGGGAGATAGTGAGAGTGTGTGAATGGGTTATGAATAGCTGTTACACATTTGCTTGTATTGCTCTGTATGCTAACCTCTGACCTCTTCGTCCCAACCCCCCCCCCCCCCTCTTTTCAGTGTATTCTGGGACTTGTATTGTGCGGCTCCAGACCGAAGGGAGACATGTGAGCACTCCAGTGAGGCGAAGGCCTTCCATGACTATGTAAGTGACAACTGGCTCTGCAGCCGCTTCTTCTCACAGAAACACACACTCATTCACTGTAGCAGTGGTTTCTTTGTATGAATGCTTGAGACACACATGTACAGGTTTGTATAGAAACTTGGAGGAATAATCTTCAAGAGGCACCTTCACCAGCCAGAAGAGGAAAGTCTGCACTTTTTAAGACACAATTAGACCGGCTCTATAGAAATCCACTCTACTGGGAGTCAAACTTTTAATATTATCTCAACAACTAGAAGAATCCCAGCTGACTGTAAACTAATGACTACACAAACAAATATTCAGGGGTCCTCAACATTTCTCAGGCCAAGGACCCCTTGGTTAAAAGAGAGGGAGAGGGGACCCTGTGGGAATTATTTTGTATTTATCTTACATTTTGGGGATTTGAAGAGTCTTTCAGATGTTTTATGTTGATTGTTATGACCGGCTCGTAGGCCACAACGGAAAGATGACAAGACGTACACGAGTTTCCAAAAACCACGGCACATTTATTGCGGTTGTTCAGTATAAAGTACAAGATGGATGGACGAGGGGAGATGATCGCCGTGTTACTCCTCCTGCGGCCGGCTTGGAGAGAGTCAGGGCCCCCATGTGACTCCGGGCAGCTGGGCTTAATAGCACCTCGGCTCCGGCCAGGTGTCCGCGATCGCGCTGAGGGGCCTCTTCAGCTCCACCCCACCGTAAGACCTGTAACACACCTGAACACAGGCTCTGGGGCCGTCACATGATTGTCTCGTGATTTGTTGTGTTTTCTTTGTCTTCTAACATCTTGGGACAATGTGTGAAATAATTATTTTCCTTTAACATGTTATACAAGTAAAAGACATACCTTTTTTTAATGGAGAGAAAAAAAGCACCAAACTATTAAAATCATAATGCGATAGCTAGCTCACGTGATTGCATGAGGGCTCTTGGGTAACAGACTCAATGTTTGATGTTTTGTGTTTCATACACATTGGCCAAAATAACTAGCAAATCATGTCACTATAATAATGCATATTTTACACGTAAACAAAAATTCTCAGTAGCACCATTTTATGCTTTCACCTGTTATATGTGCTCCTGTTACAGAACTGGATATTTCTACCAAAGTGCAGCTTGAGAATCGTAGTTCCCTTCTCTCATTTATCTACTCAGGCTTTTACCTTTTTGTCTTAATATCAAAGAATCAAATATTACTAAGCCTTTGAGGTGCTTTTTTAAAAGTGTCTGCAGAGAAATGAGTGGGACTTTTACATCCAGAACCAGCAGGGCCCAAAAACGCTCCAAGCACTTTGTCAAGTATCAATGGTTTATCAAGAAATCGTGAGAGAATAAATCTTTTAGATTCTGAGACAGTGTCTAAGGATTGAGCCTTTTGTGTGCTGTACAGTGGTGATGTTAAACTACGTGAATGAAATTGCCGCCAGTGAGTAAAATCACAATTCAAGTAAAATAAGAAAAACTCTGTAGCCTTAAAAAAAGCCTTACGTTCTGTTTACACTGTACGTTTTTATGTCTGTGTCCTTGAGGAATTATTCGATGCCGTTGGGCGTCTGAAGGAAACATTTTTCTTTCCCCCCATCTAGAGGTCACGTTCAGCTATGAAACAGTCTTTCCGGAGTTTGAAGGGATTCAGTGTCTTGCCCAGGGACGGGGGGGAGACGGGGGGGAGATACTTGCTGTCACAGGTGCTCAGAACCAGGTCTCATGCAGAAGGAGTCCAGTAATGCCAAATACAAATGTAAATATGTGGCTGTTTTTCACCACTTCGACGGGTAACTGTATCCACTTGTGTGTAAATGGCATGTGTTGTGATTGACACTGTTCTACAGCCTGTCCTCTCTGGTCAAGACAGTGTGGCATTGTGTGTGTGTGTGTGTGTGTGTGTGTGTGTGTGTGTGTGTGTGTGTGTGTGTGTGTGTGTGTGTGTGTGTGTGTGTGTGTGTGTGTGTGTGTGTGTGTGTGTGTGTGTGTGTGTGTGTGTGTGTGTGTGTGTGTGTGTGTGTGTGTGTGTGTGTGTGTGTGGTGTGTGTGTGTGTGTGGTGTGTGTGTGTGTGTGTGTGTTGTGTGTGTGTGTGTGTGTGTGTGTGTGTGTGTGTGTGTGTGTGTGTGTGTGTGTGTGTGTGTGTGTGTGTGTGTGTGTGTGTGTGTGTGTGTGTGGTGTGTGTGTGTGTGGTGTGTGTGTGTGTGTGTGTGTGTGTGTGTGTGTGTGTGTGTGTGGTGTGTGTGTGTGGTGTGTGTGTGTGTGTGTGTGTGTGTGTGTGCTGTATAGTGGGGGGAGATAATGGAATAGAGTTCTAATCCGGTAATCCCAGCACTGGGCTGAGGCTAAGCTAGGGATTTATGTGTGTGTGCGTTCGTGTGTGTTGGTGTGTGTTGCGTGTGTATTTTTGGACGTGGAGCATTTTTGGCAACCAGCCCATAGATGGCGGGTGGAGGGGCTCACACCCTCAGTGCCAGTGTGCCAGTTAACCCCGGCTGTGTGTGTGTGTATCAATGTAGATGGGTGTGCTACATGGTCGCTGGCTGTCTGCTCCTAACGGTGATAAAGCGAACTAGACGGGACCAGTTTAATTTTGGCTCCAGCCCCCTGAGGCTAGTCTCTGAGCACAGGTCCCTTTCTACTGGTTTCAAAAGAATGAGCCGGTTAGAGGCATGGGAGGAAGAGAAAAAAAAGATATTTCACCTTCCCTCAAAAGAGTTTCTTAGTCTTTTTGAGAATTGTGGTGAGCAAGCATTTATGAGGTATTATCACAGCTCTCTCTGGAAAGGTTTATCGATACAGTAAAGGCTACTTTCCACATGGACCCTGGTTATAAAAGTCATGCAGGGGCTGCTATCTTAGAGTGACTCGGTATATGTCAAGTTTATAGTTCCTTTAAGCATATTATTCACCAAAGAGGAAGGCATAAAGGGTTTAATATTTGGAAAGCAGATGCAGGCAATTTTTTCTTCATATGCTGATTCATTTCATTTTAAGTGTTTTGTAATGATATCATTCACGCAGGCTTTTAGATAAGGCTTAAATGGCTTGACATATTATACATTTAAAATATATAGACTTCTTTTTTTATACCATTTTATAATGATAAATGCTGAATTATACACCTAACCAAATGATATGATTGAGACCAAGAGTACATTTTAATGTCTTATAGTTAGCTCCATTAATTGTACCTTCATGTCTTACGCCAATTAATTTGCTGGCTTGATTAGCAGTGTTAATTGTTAAATCCGTCTTAAATCAAGTCCATCCACTCCTGTAATTTAAATAATGGGAGTTTGATCTTCCGAGCTAAGCACTCCACAGTTAGGAGCTACTCAACATTAGAAAAACATTTCACAAAAAGCACATCTGATCGAAGCCTGGTGATTGTTCGACATTGCTAGAATAAATTGGTTTAATTGCGATTCATCGACTTGTTCCTGGAGATGTGTGTGTGTGTGTGTGTGTGTGTGTGTGTGTGTGTGTGTGTGTGTGTGTGTGTGTGTGTGTGTGTGTGTGTGTGTGTGTGTGTGTGTGTGTGTGTGTGTGTGTGTGTGTGTGTGTGTGTGTGTGTGTGTGTGTGTGTGGTACACACCTCTTCTTAAAGACCTATACGATTCACCTAAAGTGTTTTGACAGTGTATGCACTGTATTAAATCAGCAATGTGATGTTGATACTTATTTCTTGATTTCATGATTAGTCTTATTCTTCCTGCACTGTTCTTGTTCACGCTGTATTTACACATCTGCCCACTCTTATCATTTCTCTCACTCCTTTCTCACTCTTCTCTCTGTCTTTTTTGCATTTTTGCAATTCTCTCTCTGCTTGTGGTTTCTCTGCGACGCCCCCGCATCTGCATCCCCCCCCCCCTCACCGTCTTTACTATATTTTTACTCTCCAGTCCGCTGTCTCTCTCGCCTTATCGCTCACTCCCTCTCTCCTCCTCTTTTCCTATCTCTTTCTTGACCCCCCTCCTCCCTCCCTCATTCCATTACCACCACTACTACCTCTGTTCCCGAGAGAAGATTGATTGGCCAATCTAGCTGTTTACCCACAATGCCTAGTGCCGAGAAGGAGAGGGCAATGTAGACCGCATGAAGAAAACAGACGGTTGTTAAGGTGTTTGAAAATGGAGTAAGTGGCCGAATGTCATAGATAAAAAAAGGGGGGAGGGAGCCGGATCGGAAAACATTTTTATTTTTTATTTTAAATCCAGTAGCCACAGGATGTCTTGAAATCCTAACACTGAAGAGCACTTGTTATCAGGGAATGAGCTATTCTTCATTATTATTCAAATTATGTTTTTTCCATTATTCAAAGTTCACATCTTGTAAAATGACAAGATTTGTTAGATAAAGGAAAATATAACAATGCAATATATTCATGCCCTCTTGGGTATTTAAAGATGCTTTTTATTTTTACCAAAATAGTATTATATATATATAAGTGCTTTATGCATCTTCACAAATCCAAACTGGCAAACATTATGCACCATTTGAAGGACATATCATGTTTTCTTTCTTCAGGTGCTTATTTTGAATGACGCTGCGTCATAGCAAGCTACTTAAAGGGTGGGTGGATTCCCTGACGTTGACGTCAAGATCACCAGCCAATCAGGATTGGAGTAATGAGATTGATGCTTCTGTTTGCATACGCGTTGAGGCGCATCCCATAGTGAGACATCTCACTTCATGTTACTCTGAGGCTGCAGCCACACGAGGACAAAAACGGCCGTTTGCGTTACTGTTTAGTGTCATATAGACCATTCGGCCACACGAGGACGACCGCATACGGCACTAAACGACTGAGGAAACGATAACGGGTCCCAAGGTGGATAGAATGGCATACGCAACGCTCTGGGGGGTCAAACAGCTCCGTGTGTACGCCCTATACGATCATTTTCTGATAATGATTGCGCAATAGGCCCGCCTCTCCCCACCTCTGCTGCTCACCTCCGCGTACCCCGCGCCATTGCTGATGTTTTTCGCCACCAACAACAACAACAATGGCGGA